GCCATAAATGCAGCAAACAGTTTCTCAACAAATTTGACAGACTTATCTGCCAGGTGATAGACTTCTTGTTTTGTGTTGTTTTAATATGTAGTGGAATATTTTATAAAATTTATATAAAGGCCATGGACTTGATAGTACATTGAAGATGATGATGGTCTGTTGGAGATTTCCATACAATCTTGTATAAGCATACCTTGCTCAAGATTTTCACTCACTTTCTACATTTTCTTCATTGTGCTTTAGCATATAGAACTCTGATTGATAGCAACAAGAGATGGCCTTTTCAGTTGTGGTGCCCAAGCTATGGTGAAGCCTCTCAAGAAAATTTTGTTTGACACATTTTTCCTACTTTTCAGTGGAGTCTGGAAAGAGCAAGTGTACCAACAGAGGCAAGGGGATCTGAAGGCAGATGGGCAAGCAAATGGAAAAAATTAACAAATTTCACAGTGATGGTGTACTGTTTTGACTAGCAAAAGAAAATCTGTGTCAAATCTAGCTTATGTGACAAACAGGCCTAAGAAGTAGGAGTACAGGTTGAAATTCTCAGTGAGATGGCCAGGAAATATCTATGCATTTAAATGTATTAACATCCTCAAATCCAAATGAATTACAAATGGGCGCTTGGAGCCTCTATCTATTATTTCTGAGAAATCCAGGAGAATGGGAAAAGTTCCAGAAGATTGGAGGATGCAAACAAAAACAAGCCAGCAAACCATGTATACAAGGGAAATATTTGCTAAGTATTATTTTGTTCAGTTGTGAGCTAAAATCGTATACTTTCATGAAAACGAACAAAGAAGTGACCTTGTACTGTGAATTTTATATTTTTCTTCTTGATCACAGGTATTTGTGTAAAGACTTCAACAGATATTTGTTTTGCAATTTTAGGGACTTGAAAGGGAGGAAGTCGAAAATGTTTCCACCTTGTTAAATATTCTACAGAAACATGGCAAAAATATCAACATATTAGGTGAAGTTGGGTTTCCAGGAATGATCAAATATGGACTTGTTCAAAAGATAAGTATATGAAATTGGGAAATAATTCCTACAACTAATTAAGGATGAAGAAATAGCAACTTCCAGGTCTGCATGGATCCAATATTCACTAGTATTGGCCGCATTCATGCGTAATTTAGGGTTTCTTAATATGTTCAACCTCAGGCAAACTTGTTACTATAAACTATGTTTTAGTGAAATAAACCGAATATTTTGGCCTTATTTATGATCCTGGCCTGTTTCAAGAAATGATAGTGAACCAAAACAACCATTCCGGCTTCAAAGAGAGATACTGGGAAATAACAGCAGAATCTTCCTGTCTCAAGTAGACTGAGTCCTGTTATGCCCTTTCATTTGTAGAACCCACTGCTTGCTAAACGAGGCTTTGGCATATCTAAAAATTAATCTGGATAGAATAGAAACATTTGCAGAATGGAGCTGCAGCGTCTGTCCCACTGGAAACATTTCCATTTGTTCCTGAGATATCTTCAGAAGGGCTGAAGCCCTGTTTGTAAGCAGTCCTCCCACAAATAGAAGAGATGCAACAAAGGCAAAGCAGCTCCCCTGGATACTGCCCATTGTGGCCATGCAGTAGTGGGGTGCGGGGGACATGAGACTGAGTCTTGGGTACATATGCAAGTACAGCTGTTATCTTCAAAGATGTAAAAGAACTTAGAAATATTGTTAATAATCATTTTTCCAATTTATTGATACAAATCTTTATTTCTCTCTACATGGTGAATTGGTTTGAGAAAGCGAAAGAAATTCTTAAATATAAAGTAAATGAAAAAAATGACAGCTTTACTACTTTCTTTGAAAACTTCTTTGATGTCCTCATGGTAAATATAAAATTTATGTATTGCTATATACATTTACTGATGTGTTCTTATTTAGTATTTATTACTATCTAGAACAGAAAGATAACATTTTTCTTAATTTTTGACACTAATTTACTTAAAATTTCTTATAAAATATGTAAATTCCTTCCTTGCTATACTTTTCTTTAGCATAACTTTTTGAAAATAAATAAGGATGCAGTCTGCGGAAAGAACTACAGCACTTTCTGAGGCTGTAAAAGATTACAAAACTGGAAAATTTCCAGCTCGACACTTGGTAGTCCAACTCCTCTAGGCTGGTTCAGAGGTCCACTTAGAGGGAAAAGGGTTTTTTAAAAAGGTGCAAAGGCAACAGCATGGCACAACAAAGGAATCTTGGAAGCCACCGAACACAAAAGCTTCCATTTGGCAGGTAGCAACCCATAGCACTGTGCTGTAAGGAAAATATTGTTTATATGATGACTTCTGTCTAGATCATAAAGTGTGTATATTTTGAGAATCTCCCTAAATATTCGATACAATTTTTTTACAGATGGCAGAAGTGGTTTAATTGCATTGTACTAGTGGAAAAAAATTAAGAAAATAAAAAGAGCCGTGCTGGATCAGACCAAGGGTCCTTATGGTCCAGTGGTCTGTTCACACAGTTCCAGCGGGAAACTCACAAAGAGGAGATGAGTGCAACAGCACCCTCTCACCCAAGTTACCTAGCACCTGGTATACATAGGTATACTGTCTCTGCAGCTCTTGGTAGCATATACACATTAGAACTAGTAGCCATTGATAAACCTCCATGAATTTGTCCAGTCACTTTTTAAAGCCATCTTAATCCAGAGGCATCACTACACTTATAGAAGTGAATTCCATAGTTCTGCTTGAGCAAGGTTTGACTTTCAGGTTTTGCCAATACTCTTTATCCACTGCAATCCTCTTCACACTCTGAAAAGTTGCTCCTGAAAGTTGGCCAAAATCTGGAACAATATAGGATAGGATTCAGAGGACTGCAGTAGAGGTGGGAGGCAGAGGGAAGAATTGGCCTTAGAAGGAATAGCTGTGCTTTCCACTAGCATATAACCTGTCAGATACAACTAATGTTCCTGAATAAATTACTAGTCATATTGGCAGAAAATTTTTAATACACTGTTTATTTAACTTGTAGATCATACATGATACCAGCAGTGAAGGTATGCCTCAAAAATTGTGTTATATTTTTAGTCACATAGTCCTATTTGTATTTATATTGATCAATGCTTATGTGTATTATCTATATTACTGTGAAGTGGTATGGCTTTAGGCAAGCTAAACTTTAAAATGTCATAAGTTTGTAGCCTTCTGCCATAATTGCAGGATGTAGCGGTATCTTTGAGAAAAAGGCTGCAGTCATGCACACAAGATGCTTAAATCCCATTAGATTTAGGATTCAAAAAGCCCTAATTCCAGAACTGCAGGGAATGGGTTTTCTGGTTCTTTGTTACTTTCATATTGTATATATACAAGATGGAAAAAAGGTAGAATTCTTATACATTAAATAAGTCTCTTTTCTGTGAGTTCAGACAATCATTATAAAACTTTTTTTGCTTTCTTAATGAAAATAGATTCTGCTGATCTATTTACATATTTATGCATGTTTATGTATATATTTATGTATGCATGGTGTGGTGGTTAAAATGTTGGACTGAGGACCTGGGAGATCTGGCTTCTAGATCCCATGTGACCATTAAACTCACTGAGTGACTTTGGACCACTCACAAATTCATAGCCCAGCCTACCACATAGGGTTGTGAAGATAAAGTGGAGCTCTGTAAGCAGTCTTAAGTTCATCCAAACAGGAAAAAAAGGTGGGATATAAATGCAAGATAATGGCATCGTTGTTGATGCTGAATCGTATGGCTTTGCAGGTCATTCATATAAATGATACCATTACAGATAGCCTCAGCTATTGGGTGGGATATAAATGAATGAATGAATTAAATAAATACAATTTTTTATTTAGGTAAAATACAAATATTGGAAAATTTTGTATTGCGAACATGTGCCCTTACTGCTGAAAAGAGAATTAACGTTTATATTCAGCAGGAGGTAAGGAATTTATTTCTAATAGTACATGTGCAATAGTCATAAAAATGTTTTCATTTTTGTAGGTACAAAAGTGATACATGCATATTTATTTATTTAAATCTGTATTCATTACTTCTGCAGTTCTCATTCATTATATTGTATGTTTTATATCGTATATTTGTATTTTAATGTATATATTTTTAAATGTTATTTTAATTTATTGTTGTAAGCCACCCCGAGGCTTCGGCGAATGGGGCGGCATAAAAATGTTTAAATAAATAAATAAATAAATAAATTACTTCTAGAAAATTAAAGCAAGAGTTAGACCAATAAATGATTGTTATAATGTTTAGTGCGACCCTAAACATTTGCATTCAAAAGTAAGCCCTATTGAGTTTTATGAGACTTAACCCTAGGCAAGTGAGTATAGGATTGTACTCTTAATCAAATTTAATTTTTTTTCTCCTACATCATTCCCCTGTTTTCCTATTCTTTTCTTATCATGTGCAATTTCTGTTGTTCAGCCCCTTCTACTTTCTCTGGCTTCATTATCTGTGGCAGTCTGTCCTCTCAGCTACTAGCGATTCCTTTTGAAGGCCACCTTGTACCATTGCTGCTGCTTAATTGTATATAGTCAGCCACACATTGGCTAATTCCATGTTATGTGTTTCATCAAATATATAATTAATAAAGATCAGGTGCAGTGAAAGTTTACTCTGTCTATAGCAGCGTCCTTCTCATGTAACCAGAAGCCAGGGTGGGTGAATATTCCGATGGGTATTTTCATTGTGCCCACTGTTTTAAGTGTCCCAGGCACAGTGGGGGCACAGAGAAGCATTTCATTATATGTTAATGCAGCAACGGTGGCTTATTGGGGTGAGTGACTACCATAGAAATTCACCCACTATAGCATCTTGCTATGTATGAATTGACCCACTAGCTGATCATCTATGCCATAGCACAATAAACCTTTGAAAACTCGTTCATTGCATTGTTTGCATGAATATTTAAAAGGATTTATCATTGGATGCATTCAAATGTTTCTTGCTTAAATGTGCTTAATATTAAATTGCTTGTTTTTATTATCCTTAGGCAGTAAGAAAATTGAACATAATGCTTGATTCTATGCCTCGAGATACTAGAAAGAAAATTATTTCTACAAAGGAAATGCTAGCTATCATGTAATTATTTTATCTATAATATAATTACGTAGAACTTGATCACCAAAGTGCAGCTTTTTGGAAAACTAGAACCTAATTAAAATAAGTAAACAATGGTTTATTTTAACCTCAGCATTTATTTGGCTTAAACTTGTTTTAAACTTTAAGGATATCTATCTTTCATAATTCAAGGTAAATTGCACTTAGGACTAAAACCAAACGAACAAAAACCATGAGGGCCAACCCAATGGACCTTACAGCATTTTAAGCAACAGTTCTATTAATGTTTAGCAGCTGGAAGTTGCAGGACATTTTTTTTGCCCAACTGTGCATAGATTTTCACTATTACCATTCTTTTGATTTCAATATATATTTAGCTCTGTTTAATCACAAACAAAGGAATTTGTAGCACAATCCTAAAAAAACAGAAGTGTGCCCTATTATGTTTAGTGAGGCTTATTAGCTAGTATATTCAGGATTAAAGTGTGTATTGTTGATTGAACTATGCCCAAGAATTTACCTGAGTTGTGAATTGATAAGGCTACTGTATTAGAAAATGGATGCTGTTTCTAATATTCTATTTCTAAAAAAGCTGTGTATCTAATAACAGTAACTGTTCTGTTGAGCAAGAAAAAAATTGATCTTTCAACTCTAGCAGAAGCTGTCTGTTGTGGAACTACATTGAGGGCTGGGTCATACCTTCAGTTATCTCTTCTTTGGATGCAAATAGCTAGCACACCCTTGCCATAACTGTATGTTTTAGATGATGTTGATTCATATGTTGCTTCCCAGTGCAAATTTCATTCATTTAAAATATCATTTGGCTGCCTTTCAGGGCACAAGCCATCTGAATGTAGCTTCATGATTAATATGACAAGGATGGGTGAGTGGAAGAATCAATATAAATGATAGTCAGCACAATAATACAAATACTACAAATAAACACTATGAAAACGCAATCTAAAAACAAGACAGTATGAAAAATGCTAATATACAAATATACAAAATCTTCCCCTGCTCAAAACCAAGAATGGATATCACAGAATCCACCCACTACAATCGGCTCATAACTACTACCAGTATGCCTGAGAAAAGGAATATATCTTTTCCTAGAGCTGAGAAGATGACAGTGCTACACAATGAGCTTTCTCTGAGGGATTGATCTGTAAATTCAAGACTCTCACAAAACAGGTCCTTTCCTGAACTGACACCCTCCATGGGTTTCTCTGAGATGGGGCACACAAAGAGAGGCCTTTGAAGCTGATCTCAAGGTCCATGTGGGCTTATACGGGGAGATGCAATGCTTGAAGTACTGGGATTTGTACCATATAGACCTTTATGTGCTAACACCAGTACTTTGAATTTAGCCCAGCAACAAATTGGCAATCAGTGCAGGTGAGCCAGAACTAGACTTAGATGTTCACATTGCCTAGTCTGGTCAACAGGCTGGCTGCTAAACAATTCAGAATGAAACATATATCTTGAAGCTATTCAGCTCTGGTTGGTAAGACTCTAAATGCTATCTGACATATTATTTTTGTGATATCATTTTCATTGACATTTATGTAAACAATTTAATATGCAAAAGGACTTGGGGACTATGCAGAAATAAAATAAGTATTTATTTGTAGATGACATTTCTTACAAAATCAAAGTAGTGAACAATAAAATATAAAAGCCAACACATGTGCATTGTTTTTGATTGAAACAGTCCAACCTCTTAAAGCAGTTTTTTTGGAACAGAATGTTCTTTGATTATAGATATTGATGTGAAATAATAAGCATAAATGGTAAAATTGTGCACGGAATATTAAATTTAAAAAGCATTTACTTGCTAAAACTGAATCATAATGTCAAAAGCATTATCAAATAATAAAAAAACAAAAATGTTTGCTTTTCAGGAATGATATGGGAAAGAGAATTTTAGATGCTGGGGGTAAGCATAAATAATATTTCTAAAGTATTTATCAGTTCTGATAATGTATCCAGAGTAGTTTTGCTGTGGTGCCCCTATTGAAAGTGTTACAGTATGTTCAAAGTATCCATCGAAAGGTATTTGCATATGAACATCAATTTAATCATCATCATCATCATCATCATCATCATCATCAGTGCTTGTATGTACTTTTATATAACTCTGTATAGCTTCAACAGTTTTTCATGTAATGGTGCTGGTTCGCCAGCAAAATAGGGAGAGTTGGAACAGGATTTTACTCTCTCTCCAGCCCTGCATGCCCCACCTAAACCTGCTGTAAAGGGCTACTCTCCAGAGCAGATATGGGATCTGTACAGAAAACTGCAGAGGGGAGGAGAGTGTGTGGAAGTCTTGTTGCATGAGTGTGTTTCTGCTTGTGCAATGTTGACTTCAAGTCAATGTTACTATCTGTCCAAGTTTCTACAGAGCAAATAATATCCAACCTTGGCAGTGTTTGCTTTAGGATGGATTGACAAGGAGAACTTTTCAGTCTTTATAAGTGAGGGCTAGTTTATTAATTTGAGGATATATTGGAAGTATTAATCACATTTTCTCTAAACTGAACACTGCCAGATGTTGTTACTGTCCTCACAGGAGAGATAGTATGGTGGTGGTTTTATGTTGTATGAGAGAAACAAGTGTCATTCTGTTGATTTGGGATGATCATTCAGCATCTTTCACTACCAACAGCCACTGGAGCAACTGTCTGAGCTGGGAGTGGGGGCTACTGTCTTGCATTCCTACTCAGATGGAATTTCTAGTTCCAGAATTTGGTGCTTGACAAACATGATTCCCCATAAGATTTTCCAGCATGGAGTTCCATGTAGGGTTGGCTTTGTTCCTCACTCTATAAAATGAAAGGAAGGAGTTTTGGTGTGCATTGCCATTTGTATTCTGATGACACACTGTTCTCCTTCTTTTCATCTTCATCGCATCAGGGTGTGCTGAATCGGTAGCTGGCTATATCAGTGAACTGGATGAGGGCTCAGAAAGTCAAACGCAGTCTAGACAAGATTTGAGATGCTGTTAGTGGGTGGCTCTGACCAGAAGAAACATATTCATCTTGTTCTGGATGGTGTTTGTAGTTTGGGAAAATCTTTTTCTGCCATTAATTGCCACTTAAGGCTCATGTGACCTGAGTGGAATGGATTACTTTCTACCAGCTTCAGCTGGTGGCCCAGCTATGCCACTACCTGGAGTAACCAGGCTTCAGTAGCTATGATCTGGTAACCTCCAAGTTAGATTACTGTAATGTGCTCTCCACGGAATTACCCTTGAAGTCTGTTCAGTTTGTGCAAATGTGACAGCCAGATTGATAGCAGGGAGCAAAAGATCTGAGCATATTACATCAACAGTGGCTTGCTTGCACTGGCTAGGTGTACATTTCCTAGTTGAATTCATGGTGTGGGGTTTATCCTATGAAGTTTAAATGTAGACTGCAATACCAGGTGGAATGCTCGCCCAATATGAACTACCCAACATTACAATCATTATCTGAGGTCTTTTTCCAAGTACCTCCTCTGCAGGAAGACAGGTGGAGGGCAACAAGGGAACAGGCCTTGGTGGTGGTCCCCAGATTGTGGAAGGCCTTCCTCATTGAGGTCTGTCTGTTGTCAATATTGTAATCTTTTCAGTGTCAAGTTAAAGCTTTCCTGCTTTGAGGCATTTTATGACATTTGGTGGGACTTGTATGTCAGCTGTTTCCTTATCAGGTTCCTGTATTGTATTGTAACAGCATTCTACCTGTTTAAAATTATTTTAAAGTTCTGTATGTTAAAAGATTTTACATTGTTTTTATTATGTTCTGTTGATTTTATGTTCTATTTTGGGGTTTGTAATTTTTGCGAACTCTGCAGAGAAGTTTGGATTTTGATCATTATAGCATGAAATGTATGGCAATATAGCATAAAATGATAAATGAATGATGATCTGTGTGATGAAAGTGCAGTATTTGTCCCTGTAAAGAATCTTTATGGTAATATTCATGTCATGTATATTATAGACTACGACCTCCAGGTTGCCATTACTGAAGCTTTATGCAGAATGACTTCAGAAAAGCAAAGAGGGGAATTGGCAAGCCAGTGGTTTTCAATGGAGTTTGTTACTGATGCATTTAAAGGAATTAAGGATTTTGAGTTTGAAACTGTAAGTATAATTCAAATACTGGTTCTTTCAAAGTAGGGAAATGATGACAATGCTTACACTGCTTTTCTCCTTAACAGGATTGCAGAAAGTTCCTTAACAAGGTGAATGGCATGCTTGGAGACAAGAGAAGGTATATGGGTGGTAATGCCAATAGAAGTTTTTTGATTGAAGAAGATGAATTAATTAAGGGTGCAATCCTATGAATGGTTAGACAGAAAGTGACCTACAACTCGCAGCATGCCCCAGCCAGCCATGGTGAAACCCTCCATTTTTGAATAATGAAGAAAGTTACTCAAATTTACTGCCAGTCATTCTCAAGCAGCCATAAAAGGTGTTGGTCAGTGAAAGCTACAACAGTTCTGAGTGGTGAAAAGAATGGCTATTTGAACTTCCATTTCAGTATAGTATTTGAGAATGTAGGTTCTCCTTAAAAGGTAGTGAAGGAGGAAGGCTCAGAGTAACCTAATCTCTCTGAACTTAGTTAAATATTTAATAACTTGATATTACAGGTGATAAATGGTCCAGTGGAAGAGATTATATAGATTAGCAAAAAGAATATACAGGCATGTAGTCTTTGTGGCTTAAGAATTAAGTTTGTGAGCAGGGCTGCCCAGAAGCAAAGGGGGTGTTGGAAAGGCAGTAAATCAGAAGCATGCAATATCTCAGAATTGTTAGGGGAAATGATTCCTAAAATGCCAGTGACTTCTAGTCCTGGTTTTGGGCATAATAGCTAAAATAAAGGGCAGTATTCAGAACTGCTGCTGTTCTTCTGCTGTTTGTGTTGTGCCAATAGGAACTTGGTGCTTCCTCAGAAAAATCCTACAGATAAGGAGAAATGCTTGCTTCCAAATCAGTGCAGGTTAGGGGAGCTCCCTTCTGCAAGCTCTGCAAACCTGCACTGTTTTGTTAGCGAGTGTTCTAGCTCTTTTCTGATTGTTTTAGAAACTGCTAGACATGAATAGGAAGGTGTGCAGTTTCTGAATTCTAATAAGAAAAGTTTTTCATTTTCTTTGGAGCTTTGAAGTCCAGGCCATTCCATTAGTTCTTTTGGTAACATAACTCTTTTGTTCTCCAACAATATACAGTGGTACCTTGGCTCACGAACACCTCAGTTCATGACCAAATCGGGTCACGAACAAAAATTTCATAGACATCTTGACTTAGGTCGCGAATTCTGCATTGGGTGGCGGCCGCGATTGCAGCCATCTCCCCCATGCCCGATTAGGGAGATGGCCATGATCCTGCTGGAGGTGGGGCGGTGGAGATGGCCGAGGTCATGCCTGTCTTTCCTGCAGGAACACACCCGTGATTGCGCCCATCTTTCCTGCAAGAGCGCAACTGTGATCTCGGCCATTCCCCCCCCCCCGCATGATCACGCCTGCGTTTGTGTCCATCTTTCCCCTCCCCCCAGCATGCCTGCTTTCGAGCCCATCTCCCCCACCCCAGCATGCCCATGAATGTGCCTGTCTCTCCCTGTCCAGCGCACTGGGATGACAGGCACATGCAGGGATGAGGGGTGCGATCGCGGTCGTGCTGCGGGGGGACGGGGAGATGGCCACAATCTTTGTTGTTCTTTGTCACTTTGCTTTACATTTTTCTGATTTAAAAAAAATAGTTACAGAACGAATTAACCTTATTTACATTGAACCTTATGGGGAAGTTTAACTTGACTCACGCCCAATTTGGGTCACGACCAGAGTCCTAGAACATACTTGGCTCAAGTTTGTGAGCCAAGGTACTACTGTATATGGAGCTGACATTAAGCTGAATAAACCTTTTGTTGTCTAGGCAATTGTTCTTTATGTCAGAAGCCTCATAAAATTATAGACCAAATATATAATGGGCTGGATCCAGACTTAGTCAAACTTAAAGTAGACACAGTGGTACTAAAGTTAACGCATCACTCCAGATCCCCCCACCCCCAATATATATATTTAGGAAATGTTTTGTTCAAGAGCTTGAACTTCAATCTCTTTTTCCATTAAAAAAGATGATAGGAAATGGGGAAAATGAAGCCTATATGGGTGGAATTAAAAGTGGGGAAATAAACACATTTTCATCATGAAAATGCTGTCTTACAGGGTTTTTACCTATCCTTGTTTATCAGCCAACCTGGATAAACATGAGGTAAGTTACTTTCTTTTGACTTGGGTATGTTTCCTATTCTTTGCATTACTACAATTTTTATTTGAATTAAAATAAGAGTATACATTTGATTGCTTTGCAGCAAACAAAGGCTGTTTGATGTGGAAAAGGGTGATACAGAAAAATGTTCAGCTAATATCAGAAATTATTTTGACTGATACCAACATATATTGAGTTGTTCAGAACATAACATTCCTAACTTACTGTGCTAATCAATCTGAGAATTAGTTTCCTAAGAGCATAATCCTATGCCCACTAGACAGCATGAGATTTTTCAGAGACCCAGCTACAACATCTTGCTCTGACCTTGTAGCTCGGTCTCTGTGCTCCAACTATGTTCTAGATTCCATGTTCCTGCTGACATGGAAGGAAGGAAACGGGTGCTGCCGAGATACAAGATAACCTGGTGGTTTTAGAAATGATTGGGAATAGTGATACAGAGAAACCAGGAGTATAGTTTTAAAGCCAGTGCATAAAGTCAAGGATGAGGGTGCAAGCCTGATGCATGTCCAACAATTCATTGTTTATTAAGACAGGAATGTTAAAATATTTTGCATTCATCTATAATTTTGTTTCATTTTTGGATTGAATATCTTTTAGCTGCAGATACCAGCTGATGAGAATCTTGAAGAATTTTGGATTGATTTTAATATTGGTAGCAAAAGTGTATCCTTCTACATTGCTGCAGATGATGAAGTACGTTAAGTTTGCTTCACTGTATTAACATGTTTAGGGGTAAAGAAAACCAATTCTGGTGTTTCTAGTGAGATCTAGGGGAAAATACCCCTGCTTCCTTTGACTTTGACTTTCCAAGCATTTTTTACCAATTCCCCAAGTGTTTGGCTGTTCCTATGCTGCATCCATACTGGGAGGGGGTGTTGTGATTATTCAGAAGAGAGGTAGCATGGACTTTTATAGTCCTTTCTACTGTGTCAGCTTGTATCCAACTGCAACATACATCAACCAACCCATGTACTTTCTTTAAGTTACGGGAAAAAGAAGTAGGAATCAGAGACAAAAAAGTTAGAGAGAAAGTCACCTCTGTAACAGATGTTAAAAGTCACTTTGGAGTGTTGTGGCTGATGTCCTAACCAACTATCCTTCAAATGCATCATAAGATAGTCTTTTATGATGACTAATTGATAATTAACAATGTATGTATCCTAATGGGATATTGAGTTAACAACAGTACTTGTTTCAGTACTTTTCCACAAATGTTTTTTAGGGTCAGCAGTGGGAAACTGTGTGCATACCTGAGAAAGATGTCAAAACATACATAATTGAAGGTACTAGAACATATGAATTCTTTCTTATTCATAAATTGCTTTTTTATTTAAGGATGAAATACTGAATAAATAGAAAGACCTTTCCCAGTGTCTCAATAATAAGGTCCCTTAAGTGTATATGTACAATCAATTAATATAAACACAACCATGTAATACTGATAAATATATTTCATTTTTATGTAGAACAAGACAAAAAGAAACTGTTAATAATACATCTAAACAATCCTACTTCTGTGGGTATCCAAGAAGGGGAGAAAATAATATTGCATTTTGATTCTGCATTGGAAATTGCAGACATTGCAAAGAAGGTTTATAGGGCAGTTAAATGTCAGGTATGTTGAAATCTTTCTCCCTTCACCCTCCACACACACACAACTTTTATATTATTTTATATTATTAATTTTAATTTTATATTGTTATTTTTGCATTGTATTGTATTTTATTGTGTTGTGAACCGCCCCGAGGCTTCGGCAAGGGGCGGCATAGAAATGTTATAATAATAATAACAACAACAACAACAACAACAACAACAACAACTGAAAGAGAAATAAATGCCCACTGCTAAGTGGTTTTTTTCTGCTGTTCTTTCTGTATCACAATTATTCCCAAAGGCAACACTGCACTTAAGCATCCTAGATATAAAGCAAGACATTCCCAATTATTGCTGTTGAATTGCTTCAAAATAAAAAAATGTGATTGGTTGAGCAAAGTGTACAGTTCATCCAGCTGCACAAAGTGGATAAGAACTACTTATGAAACTGGCCCCATGTGCACCATCTTGCATTTTAAATAGGGAACAGTTTACAGTTCTAGATTCTGAACAAACTTGTAGAAAAGCAAGAAAATTCTGCCCTCACAGAAATTGCACTTCACTGTCATGAACTTGTGCCACTTTTCAATGAAGTAGAAATGACAGAAGATCCTTTGTTTGAAGGTTTTTCTCCAGCATTTTAAATTAATGGATTCTTCACAAGTGAAGGTGAAAAGAAACATCCTTAAGTTATTCTATAATCTGAAAATTATACTATTTCTGTGTTATAATAAAAAGTACTTAAATTGGATAAATAAGGCTTTTAAAACGCAGTATATGCTTTACTTTCCCTCTGTGTCTTGTTAACTATTACTTGCATTTTTATAGGGATTTCCAAAGAAGAAAACTATGTCAGTAGCCAAAACAACAGTGCATGTAATTTTTGATGAAAGTGGATCACAGGTATATAATTTAGTTAAATGTTTAATTATGTAAGAGCTAGCCTCTAGCTAAGATACATGGAAGAAAAACATAGCAGCTGCTCTTGGTACATATCTGATCATTTCTCAAGCTACCAAAAGTATTTCTCATGAAAATGTCTATATTCTTTTTTTAAAAAGTATTTGCAAGCCACCAACTCACACAAATGCACCCACATAAATCCTAGGAGAAACAGCTGGACCTTGGCATCTGTGCATACCTGCTTTTAAAGCTTGTGTTTTACCCACAGTTCTGTTTGTTTGTTTGCTTAAAGTATTTCTTAGCTGCCTTTCTTGGCTCCCTATCCTCTGTTTCACTGTAAACCAGTGTTATTCAGTGTTATGTCCAGTATTAATCTTGCTGAAAGACCTGCTGGCCATTCAAAATAGGCTAACACTGGATGCAACTCTGGCAACATTTGTTAATTTTCTCAGGGCCCTTTCAGTCTCACCCCTGCCTCTCCCTTTCCACCATGGAAAGAACTCTGATGGCTGCTTCTTGAGTTTACAAATGTTACTTCAGGGAAAGGAAAAAGTGTGTGTTCTGGTGGGTTGGGAGTGGGTGTGGAAAATCCAGGAAGCATTGTATATGCTGTAGTAGATGCTGTACACAGCCCTGGAAGTGTCAGAACTTATAGCTGGGTGCAGAGTCTAGAGGAATTAATTAAAAATGACAGAGGACAAAATCACTCTTGCCACTAAGACCACATTGTCAGCAGTAGCAGCCCAGCAAGGAACAGATTTCCTAGAGGTCTGCAAAGCTGGAGACTTACTTCTTACTTCCATAGTATTGCACTCTTTAGAGGAACAAAACTAGCTGGTATGAGTAAGCATTTTAAATCTTAAGCTCTGCACGGCAGGATTCTAATTTACTTGTAGCTCTCTTACCGTATTGCAAACTGTTGATGACATTCCTGGAGCTTTAAAAACAACAACTTAATAGTGGTCAAACCTGTTGTAGTTGTTGATTTCCTTGTTGCTAGATGGAGCCTGAGACATTTATTTGGAATATTTTCAAATAATATTTTAAGAATTTAACCAGGATTCTGTTTGGTTGTTTTAAAAATATTTAACAGGTTCTCGTGCCAGAAAGTCAGATAACACAGTTGAAAGAAAACAATTGTAAACTGCTAAAAGAAAATGGTAGTAATTCCCTACAAAATCTGTATCCCCAGACACAGAAAAATATGAATGATAAAGCCAATACAATAGACATTCAAACAGTTCAGTCCAAGGTAAATTCATGTATTATACTGTAATGGAACAGCACATATTCTACATTGTATGTCTAACAAAAGTTACCTTAACTGTATACTTTTCTATTTTATTTCAAGATTACCCCAGCTAAAAGGAAAATGTCCGAGGCATCAATGGTTGTGCCATCCGCTGGCAGATTATCTATGCAAAGTCTGTTACCATTCATGAATACTTGTAAGTTAGATGGCATATTCTACTGTGTCACTAATTGATTTTTATTACTGCTTAATATTTGCTACAGAAATGTTATCACAGTGCTGCAACAGCTATGATCCGTTTGTAGAATTATGCTGTAGGGAGGGGAAACACGATGTAGGGAGGGGAAACATATGTTGCCATTGTATTAGTACTGTAGAAGAGCTGACATATAGTTACTCAACCCAGGTGACAATGGAAAATCAACACAGTATATCAGAGTTTTAAGTTTCCTACTTGGAATAGACAGGATGTACCTTTTAGATATTAATTATATTCTATATCTCTATATTGACTTTAAATTGCAGTACTGCATTTTTGTACTGCATCTTCCTCTCCTTCCTTTTAGTGTGTTTTTGTTCTCACATTTTGTTCCTCAAAATGCCCCTGTGATTATACTAAGAGATAATGGGCTGGTTCACATGATCACCTCAGCCCAACATGGGTTATTTAAGCCAGAGTGGTCTTTTCCTTTTCCTTGTGTGTGTGCATGTGTGTGTACCACCAGCCCTTTTGAATTTTCAAGCCACTGCTGGCATTCACCATGGATTATTGTCTTGAGCAAACCCAGTAAGGTAGGGTTGCGTCAGGCTTAAGCAAATCTTGCATAAACCAGAACTGTTTTAGGACTTTGTGAGGGTTGTTTAACCCTCCCATAAGCCACACTCACTGGGTTTGCATGACATGATAAGCCACAGCAACAGCTCACCACAACTTGCATATTTAAATGAGCTGATTCATGTCACAATCATCATGGCATTTGTGGGCTGTGTAGCTAATGCATGCTTAGGAACACATAAAGTGGTTTTATACCAGATCAGACTTTTGTCCATTTTAATGTCTACTTATCACTATTGCTTTTGGGTTTACTTTAAATTGTAAATGCATTGCTGTTTATGGTGAAATATCTTCTTGATGCTGCTTTCAAAACATATTGAAGTGGTTACAGCTGCAGTTTACATTTTGACGGGGTAGGCTATTAGAAATATGCAGCAGAGGGCATCCCCATGTGAGGCGAGCTTAACCCAGTTTTGTCTCTAACAATTGGGGGTCAAAACCTGAATTAAACCAGTTTTGAAATAGCTTGATTTAAGCCACAGATAGAGTACCCCAAGCGTGACTAATCTACTGGCTTCCTCACAATTAGGTCATTTCTTCCCTGGAATTTGCTCCCTTTAAGAAATACCACATGAACATTATAGCCTATCAGCAATCTTTTCTTAAGTCTTGAAATGTAGTGCCTTAAGTGACCTACACTGATAGCTCTGCTTAGAGAAATCACGGAGTTGGAAGGTGGTCTTCTTGCCCACCATCCCCCTCCCCATAAGATTATGAAGTCTGTAGTAAGTCTGTTTGCTATAATTTTGCCAAAACAACACAGGACAATGCAAACTTTATTTAAATAACTAAAATGTGGTCTTTTTTTCTAGCAACTCCACAAAAAGGCCGAATTAAAGTACCTCTTAAAATGGTGAGCTCTGTAGAAAAATCAGATATTTTTTCAATACCTGAGAGAAGAACAATTTTCAGTTTAGAACATGATTAGATTATGTGCCTGCATGTTCTGTAACCCAGACTCTAAAAAAAAAAATCCTATAGAGAAGGTAACTAATAGATACAGGAGTTAGGGGAGATTCACTCAACTAAAAAAATTACAAAGTGTCCCTTGTCTTGGTTGAAACTGGCAAAGAGCTGCTCATTGCTATATGGGTCCCCTGGGAACAGGTTTAAGATGGT